GTTTAAGTAACATAGCAGGGATGACAGTAGTCTCTATTTATGCTCTATCTTTAAATGAAAATTGAGTTTAGTTCTAAAATACATGTAGCCTGTGCCTGCTCTGAGTGACTGCAAGTTCCTGCATCCGGGATTCTTGCTCCTGCTTTCCTAGCATATTTCTTGTCATCCTTCTGTGCTTTGTCATACCCAGAAAAAAAGCCTGCAGGGTCCTTGGGGCATAATCATGACCTTGTCTCTTGTGAAATGCATAGCCCTCTTGAGGCATCACAGTGAACTGAAACACTGTACTTCGCTGAGTTTGCCATACTGCTTTGTGTATTCCTGTACCTCTTTCCTCGATGCACCAATGTTTTACATGCTAAATATCTTACATGGCTGCAATTAATACTTTGGTTCAGCGTTTGTCCAGAAGCACATGGTCAATGTAGCCTAGCACATGTGTTGCCTCAGAGGAGAGTTTTTTGTCAGTCTTCTTTCATTCAGTTGCTGGAAATAAAGAAGATGATATATATATGAAATACAATTATTTCCCTGGTTCTGTATCTTGAAATGTTGGTCACAGAAGCTGGTTAGGAAGTAAGTGCAAACCTTGTCATCTGGACTCTTTAAACTGTTTGTAGGACTATGGCCTTCAGATACCAAGCGCATTCTCAATATTCTGGAATATCTAAGTGCCCTCTAGTGACTAATTCTCTGAACCATGTTGCATTTTCATTGTCGGAGAGAGATCAGCTGTGGAAGGGGTGGTTGTCTGGTGAGGGCAGGAGCTAGGTATATGTCCTCATATTATTTTGAGGGCAGCACTAGTTTGTCCTGAAGAAGCAAACAGAAATATGCATTGGGTGGTCACTGCACAAAGCTCAGGAAAGCAAATGACTGAATGCATGCACACTGCTAATGTGGAAAGAGCATGCCCAAACCAAAACACAAGTCAAATCAAGCGCAAACAACACTTTCCTGGTTTCTGTGAAGCATGGCACTACTGAAATTTTTCTGAATAATTATCCTCTAGGGTTTGAGAAGGGTCCATGGCATTCTGGTTTTCATTTGATACACCAACTGTAGACTAGGCTGATAGGTTACTGACATTTTATTTGTACTGTGACAGTGTTGCAGTTTTTAAAAAAACAAACTGATTCTTTACTAAAGACTTTGTTTGTTAAAGAAACCCGTTTTACCTGTTTTTCAAACCAGTTTGAACTACAGTCCAAGCCTGTGTTCTGCTTTGTGGATTTGTCAATAGTGGGGGCATTTCTGTCTCTTCCTATTATTAGAGCTCTCCGTGCAATGTTGTGTATTGTAGTAGCCTGGCACACTTGTCAGGGGGCATCTTGAAGATACTTCTTCATGGATTGTTTCAGGACAATGGCCTCACCTTGCACCCAAAAAGAACAAGGTAGATTTGCTGTTCCCAGAATGGATGGAAACAGACACAAACTCCTTTTGTACTATGTTCTATCCACACAAGTGCAGGCTTACAAAGTGCAGACAGCAGTTGTCAGCACATGCATACTTGTTTCTTTAAAAATTCCTGTTCTTACCTCATATAGTAGTTCACTATGTTGAATTTACTTTTTCATTAATTGACAACTCAATTGTAATGCAAATTTCAAATGCATCACTGCTGTTACCATTGCTGTTCATGCTGCAGCAAAATACTGGGTTTCGTTTCTGGTGGTGTTTTGGATGTGGGTTTTTTGTTTTGGGTGGTTTTTTTTTTTTTTGGTTGCGTTTTTCCTTTTTTTTAAGTAAAAATTTAAGTGCCCTTTTAAATGTTTAATTGCATCCATTAATATAGCCAGTGTAGGAGTTTGGTGAATCCCGATTCAGGAACTGATTTATCTGGGCTATTAAAGTCATATGACAGTATGTTACGGGCCAGATATGGAGGTGGTGTGCAAACTGGCATATATGAGACTTCTTTATGTTCCTACATTGTATTAGCCTCCCACTAACTTCCTCACGCCTACTCAGTTGGCATTTAAGGGATGCTAGGGCGGTGTAATTTATGTGGTAAGCTCTTCTTACCATATAAGCATTAAGAACATTTAATTGAAATGCACCTCACCTTGCTTGAACTTACTTTTTTTTTTCTGTCTTACTCTGTATTTGCACTGTGTTCAATATCGTAAGGCCACAGACCTAATTGGTATGACTGGACATTTACAGAGACAAAAATTTACTTCAACTGATATAATGAATGTTGCAGAAAGCAGAGTTTCTTTCGGATTTAGCAATGGAGCAAAAGCTCTCGTGTACCTGGAATACATGTGCAGGAAGAGTTCAGGGTAAAAGGGCCAACTGGCATTGGCTCTAGAAATGATCTGGAAAAGTGGATTGTGGAAGGAGCAAGGACAGTTGGGATTTAGAGAACACTTCAGCCTTGTACTGGGTTTGTGTGTGTAGCAGGGGAGGGCGCTGCAGCAGTGGCCCCCTGTGAGAAGCTTCTCGAAGCAACCCCGGCTCCAAGTCAGACCCACCTCTGCGCCAAGGCTGAGCCAATGAGAAATGGTGGCTGTGCCTCTGCAATAACATATTTGATAAGGGGAACCTGGGAGGAGGAGTTGTGAGGAAGGCACCTGTGCGAACACCCAGGTCAGTGGAAGAAAGGAGGAGGAAGGGGAGGAGGTGTGCCGGTGCAGAGACTCCCTTGCAGCCTGTGGCGAGATGGCAGGCCGCACTTCCCCGTCCCCCACCCCACACCCCCCCACCCTGGAGGTCCACAGTGGAGCAGAGACCCACCTGCAGCCTGTGGCAGACCCCAAATCAGCGCAGGCAATTGCGCCCAAAGAAGGGAGGGACTCTGAGGGAAGGAGAAAAGAATCCCCTGCTGTTGCAGTTTGGTGCTGGGAGGACTGCAACACATGGGAGGAGTTCATGCCAGAGTTGTTAATGTGACTTTTCATTAACTGCACTGGACAGAATGAAGAATATACTATGTGCAAGTTGTGTTAATCTTTCTGCGGTATTGCAGGAATATTTGGAGCATTGGACTTGCTTGGAAAAAGACTGTAAAAGAGATGAGCCTGATGCCCAGTTGCAAGTGTACAGGGCTTTACTCATAGCTTCTTAAGCAATCACACTGCTTTCCAGTTCTCAAGAAAAAAGTCTTGGGAAAGAGACTAGACTAGGCTAGAATAGTTCTGTTTGAAGGGATCTACAACTATCATCTAGTCCAACTGCATGACCACTTCAGAGCTGACCAAAAATTAAAGAATACTATTAAGGGCATTGTCCAAATGCCTTAATGTCCAAATGTCTTGAACACTGACAAGCATGTGGCATCAACTACTGTTTTGTTTTGTTTTGTTTTTCTATAAAAGTACAGTGAAAAACCTGTGGTCTGGTTTTGTGCCTATGGAAATATCTAGAGTCAAGCCTGTATACAAGAGGAGGTAGTGCAGATGCTGACACCTTGTTCTCTGGACATGATCTGAGACCTTTGTATCTCACTGCTCCACTGGAAGAGTTGTGACTGCAGCTTTTTGAAAGTGTGCTTTTGCTAAAATATAAAAACTGCTTAAGTTAGAATAGAAAGATGCAACAGACTGGGACACGGTGATTTCAGAGGCAGTAGCCAAACAAAGAAGCTGTTGTACAAAGCCACATAACCTGAGTGGTTGTTCCTCCCCTAATCCCTTCCGAAAACTCACCCAAAATTTCTTGGGCAATTTAATTTTTATCAGACAAATGTCTTGAATCCATGGCGCTAAGTCCTATACAGCCTGAAAGAACCTTAGAAAGTCACCTTGTCTGTATACATCCCTTTCTCTCTAAAAAAAACATATGAAAGCACCAACTGTTGAAAAGCATATGTGCTGTATAGTATCAGTGGTGTTGAGTTTGTCAAATTAACTTTGGTACTGAGGCGTAGCACAGCAGAGCTGACACAGTCAAATACTCCTTTCAGTGAGAGCTAAACATTGGCAACAAATGGGTAAGAGATCTCAACTTTTTCAAAATTTCCGAGTGCTTTCTTTACTCTAAGCTTTACACTTAATTATTAACCAATAAGGAGTGGCACCCCAACCCTCCTCTCCGGCCCCTGCAACCTTGAATCTCATTCTCCCAAACAAGACAAAGGCTTTTTTGTTTTTCTTTTTGAAAGACTTCAGTGCATGGACAATAATTAACTTGTTATTTCAATGTGGAGTAGGGAAAGAAGGATATTTAGTTCTTTCTGTAGTATTGCCAGGTTGGGGTGGTCCAAAATGACAGATTAAGCTAGACAATTTATTCCTTCTAAGGAGCAAGAAATATGCAGTGTTTTACTGTGGGCACAGGGAAGCTTTGGTCTTTTTCATGCTGTGAAAAGGAAATTTATCCACTATGTGACAGCCTCACTGACTTTGAAATTGTGCTAACTGATCTGAGATAGGTTTGGCAATTATTCTTCTGTAACCTACGCTGCTCTGGATTTTCCTCACCTTCTGCCTTGCCACCCCACCTTCTTTGTTGTGGAGCTCAGGAGGGGGACAAATTGAAGTCCTCCAAACTAAGCAGCTTTCCGCCCCTTTCAATGAAGTGAATTCTGCTAAAATAGAGATAAAAAAAAAAAAAAAAAAAAAAGTCACTTCATTTGAGAGCCTTCCCCCTCCTCCCATATCTTCAGAAAGGAATATAGTTTCTGACGTTTTCTTAACAATATTGGCAAGACAACCCTTTTGTGGCAAGAGCAACCAAGCTGTACCGCTATTGTAAGGCTGTATGGTTTGTTCTGAGGAGCTCTCTTTGGCTGTGCCCACTGTCTCCTACAGAAACACAGTACTGCAGAACGTTCATGGCCCTTCTGAAGGAAGAGGGGTCATATGTGATCTCTACTGGCACAGTTTTACCTTGACTTCTTTGCTTGTATAAGAGCAGGCTGTCTGCTGTTCTGTAGGAAGCGGAGGATAGCTTGAGGAGGGCCTGCGCGGGACCCTCTGCAGACATAAAATCTTGGTAACTCATCAGGCCTCTCCCTCTTCGAGTCATTGATCTTAGATTAATCTTTGCTCCAGGATTCACAGGGCCTTTGGGTGTTCTGAAGTGGCAGCCCCTGAGTGCAGAACAAGCTTCACAGCATGTCTGGTACAGACTTTGTATCCCCCTCAAAAAGAATCAAGTCATGCTTGGAAAAGAAGCTGCCAGTTCCAGGTGGATCACCGAACGACATCATGGAGCCACTGGATCTAACTGAAAGATGTTTAAAATGAATTTTAAGACGAAAAAAGAACACCCAACATCCCCCGTTCTTCAAGAGAGAGAACAACATGCTCTTTGTTGGTGGTTTGCACAGAATTTCACTTGACTGGAGCTAATGTTTACCTCTGAGAAAAGGATTATGAGGATATTAAGAGAGGTTTCCAATCAATGGAGGAATGCTCCTGATCTGAGCAAGGGAAATAATGAGGTCTGCTGGCAAATGCGACGGCAAACCTACCATGAAGCTGTAAAGGAGCAGAGAGATGAATACGCTGTCAGAAGCTGCTCTGTGGAAAGACTTAACAAAAGAGTTCAATGAATGCAAAGTATCTCGCACCCAGAGAAGGTAGGAGGGAACAGTGCAGATTCATAGCAGTAGCTATTCATCACCAAAACTCGCTCTCTTGAATGCTGTTGGATTAAATTAGTACAAAGTAAATGAGTATCTTTACTTTACAACACTTTACATGTAAGCTCACAGAGGAGAGATTTGTGGTTTCTGTTTTGTCTAAAGCCCAAAGGATGCTGATAGATGAATGCACAGCAGGAAATGCTTTCATTCTCTCCATTGTTGTTACCCTGGGAATGAGTAGAGTGCCTTGTCCCACCGTCCCAAGTGAACAAGCTGTGCTAAATGGTGTAAGAGTTAATCCTTGTAAGTTCTGAGCAGACTATTTTATTTAATTGAACGTGGAATAAACATGAGTTTAATGTCTCAAACATGTTCATAGGGAAAAATCATCATATACAATGGCCACAACTGCCTGCCTGCTGACAATAATACAACCCACTCTCCATGCTCAGATGGAACTAAAAGTGTTCCTCGATGACAAGGAACAGGGCTCTTAAATGCCTCATTCATCTGCTCAGTGTTTGCAGATCCCTCTAGCACATGGATGGTGGACGAGACCGAATGTTGCACTGCGTTCTCACTGTGGTCACTGAAGGGGTGGCTGATTATGGGGCCTGAGCAAAGGCAGAAGCAAACAATTGTGGGTGGTCTGACAGCCACAGTCTCAGACCACTTAGCTGTCCTTGAGCTCTAGAAGATGGGTGAGCAGAAGCTGGTGCTACTGCAACTGCTGCTGATGGTAATGGCTCCTCTCAACAGCAGCCATCTCTTGCCCCACCCGTCTGATCCCTTTGGCAGGCAGCAGACCTGCCTGTTCATCTTCTTTTACCAGCTATGGCACCTGGCTGGACCTTTGCCTGTTCCTGCCCTTCATCCTTAGGGTTGCAAATGTTCATTTTTTATGCCTTTGCTAATCAGAAGCGTGAAGGATTCTTCCAATTGCTGTGTCACTGGAGGCATATAAATAAAAAGGATGCCATCAGCCTGTGGTTTTGATTGAGAATGTGATTGTTTTCTTCTAGAGCCACAGCAGTGTTTTTATTCAATTCATTAAGAATGTGGCTTCTAAAGCCAGTTTGTTCTCTCCATAGGCAGCAAATGGAGCAGTAGCTGCTGTATTGTGGGTGAGACCCTCTGGCAGGGGAAGATGCAGCATCCCACTGTGGCAACAGTCATCTGGCATCGGCACTGAGAAGTGGCATGTGGCACCGCTGGGTTGACGTGGGCTCTGGAAGTCACATATCTGGGGAGCTGAATGGAAAAGCTCAGTGCAGACAGGTGAGGGGCATGTCAGTACCAAAATTGCCTCAAATCTGGCAGCAGGACTGGGGATGGAATGTATGTCAAATGAGGAACCTGCAGCATTTTTGATAGAAGCCTGCAACAATGTCTGGCATGTCAGCAAAAGAACACGTGTTGTCTGGGGCAAATAGGTATATTTTTGGATGATTCCATTACTCAGAGATGTCTATGACATCAGACTCTCCCATCTATGTTTAGTTTATCTGCATGAACATTTTGACATGGGCAAAGGAGGAGGTGAAAACATGAACTGGATGAAACAGCTGAGAGCAACAGTGCTGATGCTTGACAAGTTTCTTGCTCACTTTTACCTAGTCTGGCAGATTTAGGTATGTATCTTAGGGTCAGTTTGGGAACAATGTACAGGGAACGGGGGCACAGGGCCCTGTCTTAGAAAGCAGTAAAGGGAAAAGTTTTGCTGCGATTGTTGATGTGCTGACTGGAACGTGGTTTTAAGGAGGAACATTTGTGAGGATAGGTGAGGAACCCAGTCCCACTTTTCATTTAGACCAGTACAAACCCCCTTCTGCCCTATAAATGTCTTAATGCTGTGAGTGAGTAACCCTTAGTGTTGTAAATAGGTCCTTTACACTGCTGTTGGGTTACATAAACAATGACAAATGATACTTGACCAATATAATGGCCAAATTGACATAAAAAAAAGTGAACACCACAGATCAGGTGACAAGAATGTGATAAGAATGTTCAGTGGTCTCTTGTGCCTGTCCTTGTGTGCCACAAGATTACCCTAATTTATCACAATTTCCTCTTGGGCTTTATATGAACTTGTGCACTAGCTGAACCCCACCTGCCTCAAACAGTGCTATTTAGCATTTTTTTCAGGTGCTGTGGTTTGCATCACCTACTACAAGAGAGCTAGTTTTCTACAGACAAATGGTGCAATACCTATTATTTCTACTGCGACTAGTGATTTAGGTGCAGGGAAGCCGTTCTGAATTTTTGTAAAGATACACAGAGTAGACTGCACTATGTAATGACATCTTTCTTTTTAAGCCATGGGGAAATTTGGAACATGAGCACAAAATATGGCACTATAAAACGCAACTGCCAAATTGCCTTACCCAAGGAAGATGGAGCACTAATGTTAATTACAGGAGGGAAAAGTGCAGCATCATCTATGGCATCTGCTCCACGGGCCTATCAAAAAATACCTCTGCTCCAGCTGTCAATCTTACTATCACCATCCACTTCCCCTGCGCTTCCCGCGCCAACATGGGAGAAGTCTGGAAATGGCGGTACGGTAGCGTGCACCTCTGAAGCGAGCATCGCTACAGAAGCGAGGTGCTGCTGGCAGCGAGGCAGTGGGGCTGCGGTAGGTAGTCTGAGGTGAGAGTGATCGCCTTCTCCCTCAGCTGGCGCCTAAATAACCCCTGCCTCAGCCTCGAGGGCTCTTCCAGCGCAGCCCTGACGGCTCCGGGACCGTTCCGGGGGAGGCCCGTGGGCGCGGAGCGCGCTCGTGCGTTCGCGTCCGGTGCCGGCAGAGCTCTGGAGAGAGAGGGGAGCCGCGCGCTGTAAAGCGCGGCCGAGGGGCAGCGGCAGCGCCGTGTCGCCGCCCGTCCCACAGCCTGCTGGTGCGGCGGCACGCGCGGCCGTCACAGCCCTTGGCGGGAGCCGCCACCCCCCGCGAACCGCAGGGGGCCGACTCCGGGGCGGATGGTCGCCGCGCGGGACGACGTCACGGGGGCGGGGCCGGCGTCACCGTGCGGCGCAGTGCAGGCCCGGGCCGGGCGCCGCTGAGGTAAGGCCGCCGGGCGGGGGAGCGGTGGGGGCCGGTGCGCGTTAGCGGCTCTCGGTGCGCCTCCCGCTCGGGACGAACGGTGGGGCCGGGGGTGGTGAGGGGGCGGGCAGCCCCGCCCCGGGGCGATTGCAGAGCGCATGCAACGCGGCTCGTTCTCGGCTGACACGAGCGCTTGGAGGGGGGCGGTGGCGGCGGCGGCCCTCGCGCCGTGTCAGGGTCAGCCTTTACCGCAGCGCTGGTGTCCGCGGTGTGTTTGGAGCACTTGGTACACACCGCAGAAAAATCGGGAGCAGGCTCAGGCAAAGAAGGAAAAGCACATTACCGGTGTAGAAGGGCCCAGGAGGAACGACGGTGGCGGGTCGCTACCCCCCACACACACTGGCTGTGCACACACGTTTGACTGTGCAGGTAGCAGAGCCAGCATTGCCAAGGCCTTGCAGTTTGAGATGGGTAGTTGGTATAACAAACACCGAGTGCCAATAATTGCAAATAATTGTTGATAGTGAAAGCTAACAGCTATGTAATTGTTTTCCAAGCTGAACGAGAGATTCCGTCCTTTGAAGCTGTTGTGATCACCAGGTAGACTTATCTGAGGACAGGCTTAAGTCCTTTGTGTCCTCTGGTGAGCAGTTTGTAAGTTGAGGAAAATGGGTGTTGGGAAATACAGGCTCAGCTCACAGTTTTATGCTGACTTTTTGCTGGACTGGTGATATGTCAATAATCAATAAAGCCTTTTGTTTTAAGTAATTACAGATTATCAAGTGTAGTTGTGAGCCACACAGAGGGGCTCTTCTATTACTGAAATGTTGCCTCTCTTGACTCACAATACTGCCTCTGCAATGCACATTACAGACAAGAAGATGAAGGAGAATCTACTATGAAATGCAACTAATAGATGAATATAGGGAGATCCACACCTTGGGTGCAAAAGGCAAGGTGTGTCAGCGTTGGAGGGGAGTGCTATCACACTTGTATTGCCATGTCTCTATGACAGGGTTGTTAGAGCATCCATTGTGAATCTGATTGGATTTTCATTCTGTCTTTTTTCTGGTCTCTCTCTCCTAATTTTTAACAAATTGTTACTGTGAGGGAATTACTTTGACCCAAAGGCTGAGCATCGTATTCCTGCAAAGTAAGGATTCTGCTTATGAAAGGCCTAGATCATAAGAAGTTTTCAGTAATTTGTGAAAACAGTGTCAAGGGGAGCATCGGTGGGCATCTTCACAAAGTTTCTGTACGCTTTTCCTTCTGTTGGTCTGTCTAGAGGACTTTGTGTCTTAATGAGCTTTCGTAACAAAATGCAGCTTGCTGTTGGTGCCTTGTGAGATGGGGATTGGCGACGCATGTAGCTACAATTATGAATTGCTTGTTCTTATGTGGTATGCATCTTGGTCTGAAGAGGAGCAGTCTTGAGGAAACCTGTGGTACAATGTTAGGAATAATTCAGTACATGTCTTCTCTCTCTCGCCCTTTCTTCTCCCCCTCAGGCCCCAAATACAGTCACGTTACTCCAGCTGCAGTCCTCTGTGATTTTTGCATTGTACAATATCTGTCTTTGGACACTTGCGTGTAGCTAGGGGTCGTTCTGAGTAGAGCATCACCCCACCATGCATAACAATCTTTTGTGTCAGCGTGATGGTAAACGTGAGTTTAGGGAGTTCTGCTTTTGATAACAATTGGGGATATGCAGCAAAGAATGGCATTGTGTAGACTAAGGGCTACAGGAAGAAAGGCTGGTGCATGAAATGTGCTGGAGGAAATAGCAGAAAACAGGAGATTATGGGAACTCTGTATGACCAAAGCAGCAGAACAGCTGGGAGTCTTTTCCCCAGGGGAACTGTAAACAAAAAAGTAAGAGATTTGTTTTACTTACTAGTGTGCAGCTGTGAGGGCTTTCCTGAAGAGGTGTGAAATGATGTGGAACCATCCTTGTGCAGAAGCAGCCTTTGGTCCGTGTGCAAGAAACTATACAGAAAAGCTCAGACTTCACGAGCTGTTTCCATTTCTGGCAACAAGCAGCAAGGAATCACATGTGGTTTGTTAATTCAGCAGATCTGTCAGCATCTATTTTGAGATGCTATTTTGGAACCCATTTGGTTGTTTTGCCCACCACAGTATGCATGCTTTGGCCACAGGAGTAATTCTGATGAGACCCGATGAGGACATTCAGCACTTGGATGCTATTAATCTCTGAGAGAGGAGTAGCAGTGCTGAGGGTGGCTTAAAGGGTAAGTGTCATCTTCCCAGGAATTGGTTTAAAACTTCAGTGCCTGTACTGAAAAATGACATCAGGTTGTTGTTCCAAGCTTATTTGTTGTCAGTTGACCTCATCCAAGTGTTCTGCTTGTGTAGTTTGAGCTTCAAAAACACATTCTTTGGGCACTCCGGTAAAGCCTTATGGAAATAGAACCATCAAGAGGAAGAGGGTCAAACCCTGTCCTTGCAATAGCAAGTCTCTACTAACTTCAGGAATGTAAATAGGAAGGAAACCAAACACAGTCATTGCAAAAAAAGTTTTACATTAATTCTTGACCTCAGCACAGGCAGCAGGAATGGTAGGATCAGTACCAGAACGTGATTTCCCATTGCAGCAGGGGTCTGGATCTGCAGCCAAGCCACAACTTTGCTTTACAGTAAACTTAGACTGAGGTCGTGATTCATTTTTATTTATCTTGAGTGAATTGCAGATAAATGTAAACCCATGGCTGTTATGGGAACTCGTGGGAAGCGTGACATGTCTGCTAATTGTTTTAAATATTTCAATCTTAATCCCGGATGATGGTAGGCATTGCCTAAGTAATCAAGATAGAATCTCTGATGTCTCATTTGTGCAAAGATGGGGGAGACATGCCCATTAAATGTATATGCCTTATGTCAGGAGATGGAGAGGAAAGGTTGTAGCTAATACTGAGGCTGCACTCAGTATGTGAAATGTTGAGAAATGGCTTGAACTTCAGTAAATTAAATTAAGCAACGTTTTCTTACTCAACCATTTTATTCTTAGCTATTTTTCTTCCAGACGCCTACCCATGATGATTCCACCATCTGTAACAACCCCCACCAGCGACGCTGCACTTTTGCCAAGTGTGGCGTCTCAGGAAATCTGGAGGTCACAAGTTCCAGGCTATTCTGGATTGGTCACACGGCACATAAGTCATCGGGCCAACAACTTCAAGAGACATCCAAAAAGAAGGAAACACATTCGCCCTTCGCCACCACCACCACCAAATACTCCATGTCCTATTGATTTGATTGACTTTGGGGATCTCCAACCTCAGAGGTCTTTCCTAGAACTCCTGTTTAATGGGTGCATTCTCTTTGGGCTCGAGTTCAGCTATGCCATGGAGACAGCCTATGTTACCCCTGTGCTGCTTCAGATGGGGCTTCCAGACCAACTGTATGGAATGGTGTGGTTCATTAGCCCTATATTAGGTAACTTTTCTTTATGTTATTTCTTCCCTCTTGTTTTTCCATTACACGGGGGTTATGTGTTTTTGTTTTCTCTACCTCACGTGTTCACAAGTATATTCTGTGTGCTCTTGAGGTTAAGAAGCACAAGCCATAATTTTAGACAGCTGAATGGAAAATAATTCTCACTGCATCTTGCCTGAAATGGGCCTGCTGTGATCAAAAGGTCTGTTCTGTTAATGGCTTCTCAACCTCTTACGTATAGTGCAAGGGTAAGCTTTGGCTACTCTGTTTCTAGATTTAAAAACTAGCAGAAGAGGATGGGTGTAACCATGGGTGTGTGAAAAATACAGAGTAGGATTGCATTCTCCTGTTCAATTTTCTGAAACAAAGGAGGTGTTCTGGTGATGAAAGACCATTGATGACTACTGTTATGGGCATTGGATTACTTGCTTTAGCATGGAGGCAGGGCTGGGAGCACATCCATTATGATGGGAAGAACCATAGGATGGGCTGTTACCACTTGGAAACTTTGTTCTGCCTGTTCTTGTACTTGTGGGATGCGCTTCAGACAAAGAGAGTAGATAGGCCTCTACTCACAGGCTGGCCCAGAGTAACACAGACACCTTTCCAACATGCATGTTTGCTTCCTGCTATCTTCCAAGCTAATTCTGCAGGAGATCTCCCATCTAAGATGGGGTAAAGGAAGTAGCTTGTGAGAATGCTTTAGAACATGTAACTGTTGTACTTCAACTCTTCACCTGATGTCAAACTGCTGTATTAATGACACAGAGCGAACTTCCATGACAATGAGCAGTGGCATGTTACGTTATTCAGTCCCTGACCTGGGAAGTGCCAGGCAGTACACTGTGTGTGCACCTGGGTGACTAGTACCTACTGGAGATAGCACTGTGTCATGGTGTCCTGCCTTCAACTACATTTTAAGCTACCTATTTTAACTCCCCAGTGAAACAGACTTGTACAAAAATGTGACTCAGTGGTGATTCCTTTTTTCTAGGGTTCTTGCTACAGCCTTTGCTGGGAGCCTGGAGTGACAGATGCACATCAAGATTTGGGAGAAGACGACCATTCATTCTGGTCTTAGCAGTAGGTGTGTCTTTTAGAAACGATGGGAATAACACTTGTAAAGTAGAAACATTGCACATCTCTCACCTGGGACATTCCCTGTGGTACAAGGCTGAACAAAATGTCTCTGAAGTGTTGGGTATTGTGGGTCTGAAGAAGGCAGTGAATGGTGCTGAGGTGATGCTTTGGCAGTTAGAGATCCACATGTAAAAGCTTCTCTTGTCAGAGTCTGAAGAGATGATGTTTTGAGGGTCAAGAATGTTTTTCTTTGGCCAAAACCAACTCCAGACACTTGGAAGCTTGAACAGCGGAAAAGGATTACTTATACTCCGTAAGCCACGCTGATTCCCCAGACTGTGGTGATATGAACAAGAGCAATAGTGCTTGCCACAAGGCTGTACAGATAGTATAATGCTTTTAGAGCATGGAGCAGTGTTGGTTTTCTTGCTTACAAGCAGTCAATTGATTTTGATTTGATTTTATTCTCAGGAGCGTTGCTTGGGCTCTCGCTTATGCTGAATGGCAGAGATATAGGGAGTGCCTTGTCTGACACTGCAAATAACCACAAATGGGGGATCATTCTTACAGTCTGTGGTGTTGTCCTCATGGATTTCAGCGCAGATTCAGCAGACAATCCCAGTCATGCCTACATGATGGATGTATGCAGCCCAGTGGATCAAGACAGGGGCCTCAACATACACGCTTTGTTAGCAGGTATGCTTTCTTGTTGCTTCCTGGGTTACGTGAACGCTGCTGTGAGAAGGAAGAGTGTAAATCACTGGTCTTTTCCTGTATAAGCGTAATAACTGAATACCTGGAGAGGTAGCAGTAATTAACTTTGAAAACAGACTTCTGCTTACTGCAAAAGGCTTTTGTAACTACCAAAAGCCAAACAAGACACAATCCTGGGTTGTTCACCTGAAGGTCCCTCACATCATTTATAACACCTATGGAAACAAAATTATCCCTTGAGGGAGGAGGTTCAGCTTCCTGCAGGTGTGGAAAATGCCTTTTTTAGTCTCTCTGTTGGAGGGGAAAGTGCATACTGGTCACTGTGATCCCTCACTGCTGCCATCTTCAATTGCTGTACTGCCCTAGTCTAGTGCTCTTCTCCATCAAGAGACCGTTTGATGCTCTTGAATGTGTTCATAAGAAGGAAAGGATAGTGTCATAAGGCTTTCAGCATGTGAATGGAGTGAGAGGTATCTGGTGCCCTCAGAACTTCCATGTTCATTGGTAGTAATGCAGTGGCAGTTTTGTATGCTATCAACACGTGGCTGAGTAATGATTTTGCTGTGCTTCTGAAGTGATTCAGTCTGTCTTGGACGCAGTTAGTTCTGCAGTCCTCTGACTGAGTGAGGAAAATGGATTTTCACTTACTTTGAGGAAAACAGTCAAAGGACTACCACTTTGATTATTTGTCCAGTAAGTTTTACAGCACTTCTCTCTCTTTCTGTACCGTGTTTGTACATCCAGACTGTCCTTGTGGCACGGATAACTGTTTATTACTGCATTTCAATTGAAAAGGTGTTGATTAGTAAAACAGAAATAGTACATTGGATTCTACTCGCGAATCATTAGACAAATTATGCTGTTCTGTTACTGATTTCCAGGATGGGCTAGGGAAGATAATCTTGGCTCTGTTTTTCCACCAGGTCTTGGAGGTGGCTTTGGTTATGTTGTTGGAGGAATACACTGGGATAAAACCAGTCTTGGAAAAGCTGTGGGAGGGCAGCTTCGTGTCATCTATGTCTTCACCTCAGTTATACTGACTGTCACTACTGTGCTGACTCTAATTAGCATTCCAGAAAGACCCTTAAGATCTTTTAGCAGGAAGAAAAAGGTGATGAAGAGTCCAAGTCTTCCCCTCCCTCCTTCTCCACCTTTCTTCTTTGAGGAGAGTGGAAATGAAAACTTTGCTTCTCATAACTCAGCTCACTTATATGCAAGTTTTACGAGTCCCATTTCCCCCCTCAGCCCACTCACGCCCAAATACGGCAGTTTTGTCAGCAGAGACAATTCCTTGACGGGAATTAATGAGTTTGCATCATCATTTGGGACTTCAAATATTGACAGTGTGCTTATAGACTGTTTTACAGGCGGGCACAGTAGTTACTCAGCACTTCCAGCTAGCTTGCCCAGGCAGCCTGTCAGTGTCAGCTTTCCTCACGTGCCTGATGGCTCTCACCAAGGAGAAAATGGAGCTCTGGAGCAAGGGGAGAGCAGCGTAGTGCTGGGGCCTGATGGCGAGGCCCTAAGGGTGGGCTCAATGGACGCGATAAAGCCACGGTCATCAGGGATCCTGAAAAGACCTCAGACCTTGGCCATTCCAGATATCGTAACAGGACACTGTCCAGAAAATAGCAGAAGAAGAAATGTGACCTTCAGCCAACAGGTAAGGGCAGAACATCAATGATATGACCACCTAAACCTGAGCATTCATTTAATCTCTTCCATATGGTTTTAAATGTGTGGTGCACAAATTCGTCATTAAAGACCGCTCGTGACAGTTTGCTCATAAAAGTCATTATGGGGACAGCATACCTACTATGACTTTATCGGTAAAATAGTGGGTAGGATGTGAATTGTGACTGGCAGTCTGTCATCTGCCTTTGTTAAGATGGCGGAAATGGGAGCATTCTGCTCTCACCAGGCCACATGTGAAAGTTAGGTTGGTATTTTTAGCCCTGCTTCACCACCCAGGGAGCTACCATGTGAGAGCACAAAAAAGACACATTTTTATTGAGACTGTATCTTCCCTTTCCACAGAAATACCCGCAAGATAGGGCCAGGGATAGGATTCTCCCATGAGCTTCTCCTTATGGCAATCATTACAACTGGTTCCATCAGGGAGGTGAGGTTTCCCTTACCCAGGGATAAGACTCTGACCTCACCTCCCACTGTTGGTGATAACTTGGAATGTCTGAGACCTCTGTATGCTGGCCCATTTTTTTATGATCCGGGATGAGGTAAACTGTCCTCTGTTGTTTTTGGTTTTTTTTTTGTTTTTTTTTGTTGTTTGTTTGGTTGGTTGGTTTGGTTTGTTTTGTTTGTTTTTTTTTTGGGGGGGGTGGAGGGGAGTGTTGTGTGGGGCTTTTTTGTTTGTTTTGTTTGTTGCTGTTGCTGTACTTTGACCCAGTTTGTGAAAGCAGACCTCATTAGGGCCAGGATTTTACATACTGTGCATGTAGAGATCAAGCATTGAGGTTAGCAAGCAATGAGAATGTTTTTCAATTAAAACTGGCCTCTCTGTCCTCAATGTCTCTAAAACTTCAGGAACCAAATTCACCTGAGTATGTGGGTATAGCTCCTATTAAATGCAAGGCAAGTTATGCCTTCCCTATGCTAGCATCTGGATGTGGTTGCCAAATACCATAGAGAAGTGAAGAGTGCTGTTTCAAGTATACGGAAAGCTGCAGCGCAGTACTGTCATTTAACACTTGTTCCAAGGCTGAACTTACAGCTTAGCTAAATACACTGTTCTTAATGTCCAAGTCAACATACTGCAGCAGCAGAGTTTAACTTTCAGATGATCAGATAGGTGTGTAATACTACATAGGTTTGCTCAAAGGATATTTGGAGTTTTTCTTACTGTGTGTGTTGACCTGGGAGTTCTTATGGTGCAGGTTGCTAATATCTTGCTGAATGGTGTTAAGTATGAGAGCGAGCTGAATGGATCAGGCGAGTCCTCTGAGCAGCCACTCTCCGTGAAACTTCTTTGTTCGACCATCTGCCAGATGCCCAAGGCTCTTCGTAACCTCTGCATCAACCACTTCCTAGGTATTCAGAAAGTGACGTCTTGCTTTCACCATGAAGTAGTCTACCTCGGGTGAATGTTTTAAAATATTTTATCTACTGCTGCAATGGCTGCTAACTAGAGGACATGATTTGTTCCATATACACTCACCGATAAGGTACTTTCTTGTATTTAGTTTCTTAGAAGACTGAGAAAGGAAAAAAAACAAACAACAAAACAGTAAAGTCTACGTTCCTAGAAAGGGCATAACAGCAGCCTAAATCAGCGCATCCATTAAATGGAATGTTTACACCAGGATGAGAAATGCTACTGAACCAAGAACTGGAAACGACTTTTTTTTGTTTTACTGCTCTGAAACTGACATTTCTGAGCAGAAAGACAAGATTAGTTGTATTTCCCTGCTCACACCTGAGACTGGCATTCACTTTCCTCCCTTTGGCAGCATGTGTATAGGGGTCCCAGAATAGGCTGCAAGGAGGTGCGGAATGGAGCACTGCAGGAGTGCCTGTAACCAGTGCACTGTTACCTTTACTCTTACCAGCGCATAACTGATGGTTAGGAAGGGCTTGGAAGCAATACAGCTTATGCAAAATTGGACAGAAGGTAACAGGTAGTCAGTTTCCTGGCTGTTAAAGGAATTAAGAGATTGCCTGCATCAGTGACCCGGATGCCAGTTTGTGAGTAGTTTTTAACTCTGTCAAAGGCACTCTAGAAGCTGCAACCATGACATGAGAAGCACTCCTTCCAGTTCTGTGTGGGAGGGGAACAGCAACCTGAAACGACTACGTAATGAACCACTCTGTGAAAATTAGGGTTTTGTCCTGTCAAAAATGGAAGGCAGATCAGACTGCTGTAATCCATTTTTCTGTCTTGCTAAACCAGTATTCTGTGGCCTGCATTCAATCTCTAGGATCCCACTTACGAAATCAAAGGATAGATCTTAGTCTTTAAAATCCCAAATGTCTTTGACAAATATTGTAGCATAATGCACAGGGAACAGCAGTGTCAGGTAAATGTGGCTGAAAGTTACATAACCCTCATATTGCACAACCTGTCTTCAGTTGTGCATTTGTAATATAGATAACAGCATCCATGTAAGCTTACAAGGGGAAACAGATACTCTGTGATACTCATAGGTTATGTCTGTCTTTTTTCAGGATGGCTTTCGTTTGAGGGGATGTTACTCTTCTACACCGACTTCATGGGAGAAGTAGTTTTCCAAGGGAATCCGAAAGCGCCTCACAACTCAGATGAGTATCAGAAGTACAACGCTGGGGTCACCATGGGCTGCTGGGGAATGTGCATCTATGCATTCAGTGCTGCTTTCTATTCAGGTATTTAGTACAGCTATCTTAACCACTGCTGTCAGAAAGATGCACCTGCTCCCTAAGCGACATTTCTGCAACAAGTAGTCAGGCATTTATGTTGCCCATAGCCTACCACATGGCACAAGTGCTGAAGCAGAGTGTTCTTTTTCACCGTATTGACTCTGCTAGTTAGCTTGGCCTGCACAAACGGCAGATGAGGTTAGCAATCCAGTGAAAATATATCTCCATTAGTCTACAGTTCCTTTCACAAGTGGCATTTTCAGTGTATGTTGAATCCATATAATACGTGCAGCTACCACAGGCATGGTTCTGGCACAGCAGCACTCAGTGCCCATGTGCCCCTGGCTGAGTGCTCTGGTGGCACGCATCACCAGCACCTTGTCGCATGTGTCATGCGTCCGCCCTGCCCACCTCCCCACTCCCAACAGGTCTCCATTTACCACTCTGGGACAGGGTCACTGCCAGGCTTCAGCTCTGATGTGCCCTCCACACAGGTAGGGCAGCAAGGCTGCATCGTGACAGTGGGATTTGAAAGGGGTCCTTGGTGCTTATGTGTGAGCCATGAGTTACTCAAAGGCGTAACAGTTGCTGCTGAGATGTGGCTGCCTAATGGCTGGGCTGCAGGGCCTGAAGGTGTGCCCCTCAGGTCCGCTGACTGGCTAGTGGCAGGGAGGGCAACAGTTCACCCCGAGTGCCGTGCCATTGTCTTGCAGCCGCACTGGAGAAGCTGGAGGAGCGGTTCAGCACACGGACGCTGTACTTTGTGGCATATTTGGCCTTTGGGTTGGGCACAGGGCTGGCCACGCTCTCCAGAAATGTCTATGTGGTGCTGTCACTGTGCGCTACCTACGGCATCCTCTTCGCCACGCTCTGCACGCTGCCCTACTCCCTGCTCTGCGACTACTACCAGAGCCATGAGGTGAGCCCTGGGCTGGGGAGGGGAGAGGGGGTCCCGTGGTGCCCCCCTTACACTGTGTCCCCCCCGCAGTTTGTAGGCTCACAGGTGGAGGGCACGCGGCGTGGGATGGGCGTTGACATCTCCCTGCTGAGCTGCCAGTACTTCCTGGCGCAGATCCTCGTGGCTTTGGCCATGGGACCATTGACAGCGGCTGTGGGCAGTGCCAGCGGTGCCATGTACTTCGCCAGCCTGGTGTCCTTTCTGGGCTGCCTCTTCTCATCCCTCTGCGTCACCTACGAGTCACCACCCACTGAGGAGCTGCCGCCCGCCGAGGAGCAGCGTCCGCTCTTACCCCGCATGCGGAACGAATAAATGGGAGAAGCTGCCACAGCCTCTGCTGCCTCATTGCATTGCCCTAGGTCTCCCCATCGTGGTGTGCTGGGCTCACGGCGCTGCCAGGATGGCAGCAGTGGGCGTAGCAAACGGTGAGAAGGTCTGCGCTGGCTTAACCGAGCTTTCCCCTGTATGTGGGAGAGTGAGGGGTGAGTTGATGGCGCCTGGCACCACTCATCCTTCCCCTGAGGTGGCAAGGGCCCATCTGGGGCCACGGCAACAGGAAGCAGTGGTGTCAGCGCAGGGCCACTCCCTCCAGCTGCTCCCCGGTGCTGTCATTCCCGGGAGCACAAGTGGCGTTGTCCGGCCTGAAGCAGGGGACCAAGAAAGTCTGGTGCCTGGGCAGGGTGGCAGTGAGCTGCAGGGCTGCACGTGCCACTGTGGGCACCACCTGGCTGCGGCACTCCACCAGCTTCATGGGCAGAAGGTGCCATCTCATGGCCAGGAAGAGCTGCCCGGTCCTCACTCGTTGAGGGCAGTGGTGACTCCTGTGAGGACTCAGGGAGTGGCAGGGCCAACCTGCAGGTCCCGGCATCTGTCTATGGTAGGCCTGGCTCTGAAGGGTGCCTTCCAAAATTTTGGAAAGGCTGAGAGTGACTGGTCCTGCTCAGGTGGTCTACTCTGTCAAGTGACACAGCTGGGCTCCTGGGTGTGCAGAGCTCCCACCAGCAGAACTGCTTCAAGAAGCTGCTGTAGGGTAAAACTGCAGCAACCTGGCTCCCAAACCCTGCTCTGTAGGTTCTGGCTGTGGTCCATGGTGATGGTTGCCAATACATGCGTATTTCCTTCCACATTAGACTTTTAACTAAGACTACACGGGCTTGTGTTGACTTAGCAGGAGGATGGGCAGTTGTCTGTAACCCAGCTTTGGGAAGAAGGGTCTTTTTGCCTGAACTTCCCTTGGGTAGAAGCTTACTCTCAAAATTAGTTTGAGAATTGCAGAAAAATCATTTGTGTGAAAGCCTGCAGCACATCATCCTTGTTTTTCATACAGTTGTACCTTGTGACACTTCAAAATCTGTATTGGGATCAGTGATTACAAACTTTACAGCTAGACCTGCATCTTTCGTATCTCACTGAAACTAGTAAAAGGGCTTTGGGTTTCATTATCTCTGACAATTCTTAATTATTCTGATTTTGGAAGGTGGTAAATGTGTGAGATCTCATACAAGTTCCAGTTAAGCCCACAGGAGACCTTTAAGTCTCGAGAGCCAAGATGATAATGAAAATACAGTTAAAACTATTTCTAGGATCCCTGTCAACCTGCCTCTATATTTGGGTAGGCAGCCATGGTTTACCAAGCCATGTAGGCATTTTGGTGTTTATGTGTGCTGTGCATGGCTTCCTTGTAGAGGTTGGTTTTGCTCACCTGGTGTTCAGGTCCAGAATAAGGATTTTCTCTGGAGGGTCACTCCTTTTAAATGAGTTGTACTTGACTGTTTACCTAAGTTTATTCTGATGCTTGATTTATGATGCCAAGATATAATAACTTGTCTAATCTTTAGCTGTTGTGGCTTACTATACTCCAGTGCCAAAAGCATAATACACAACCTGCGAGAACCTCTTATTTTTGTCATCTGCCCCCAACCATTACTTTTTTTTTCATCATTTGAGAAGCAAGTTTCATGCGACTCAATATTTACTTAAATGGAGGAACACTACTGAAGTTATGAAGCCAAGTGCTCAGAGGTAAAGGTTTGTCAGATTGATGTGTCTATTCATCTTTATCTTTTTTCTTTGGGTTTACATAGTGTGATTATCTGCAGGAATATCTGTGATGTGCTGTTTCCTTGATTATGGGACAGCCGCCTCCAAGATCATTCAGGATGAAGCTGAAACAAAATACCGTGAGAAAGCATACGTTTGGCACTTCTGATTTCTGACAATCTAAAGACTTGACAGGAGAATTTTTCTTTTCTTGTTGGTGTGCTGCGTAACCTTAATTTCTCTTACTTATTGAACTTTTAAACAAAAAAAAAATTGTTTTTGGTCCCACTAGCTAATGCGGTACTAGTTCTTAGAATGTTTTCTTCTCTTAAGTTTTGTAGCCAGCATTATTGCACTAAATGGATCATGAGCAATTTCCTATTCTAGGTAGCTGGAGTTGCAGATCATTTAGTTGCAAGAAAGAATCTTCGAAAGATTCATAGAATTGATAAAATCAGTGTATTTGATGATAATATTTGTCTCTGCTTCCATCTGTAAATAATAGTATGAAATACATTCATATAGTTATAAAAAGATTGCTATGCCCGTATGCACTGCCCAACAGAATATATATTACATTTTCTATTTTATGGGATATGGACTTTATTTTGCATATGTATTTATGTAGTGTTTACATACATAGTACCTTTAAGTCAACATCAATGCATGTTAATTTGGGGCTTTGAGCAATACTGGTGGTGTCTGGAAAAAACCCAGAGCCTGCCACCATCATGCAGGGTTGGATGTCATACCAAATCCATATAAATAACTTTAAAAAGAGGCACTGCTTACTTGCTTGTTTTCTTCCTTTGTCATACATTTTGTGTTTTGCAGAAATTACTGTATGTGGTCACTGTTGAGCTGCAAAGTGATGTTTACCTTTTGGAATCCAAATGCTTCAAACATTCTGTCTAAATCTGTGAGCTGCTGTTTAGAAGTAAGATGCATGAGTTTAGGCAGGAGAGTGATTTTATGCTGTGCTGTAGTTTAATCTTTTCAGCGGTGCCTAAAGGTTAATTTTGATTAAGACCTTATCATTAAAGGTTGCTTGATGGCAATTATTTGTAGATGTTCATAAATGTATTTATAACACATGTACAGAAGTAGGGAAAATGGGGAGAAGGACAGAGAAAGCACCTAATAGTCGTCTCACGTTTGTAATTAAGCTAGTGGTAACTATTTCACTGCAGTTCAGTCGACCTCTGCTGTGTCTCTCAATGATGACCTAATGACTTTGGAACTTCTGCTGTGTCTTTAAATGAAGAAAATAAGTATTTTCAAGAATCAAATAAAATAAAATTGCGTGACTGCATATATAAAAAAAGAAAAGCTATATTGGGAACTATTTGAAAAGAGTTGTCTAGACAATTTATTTTCTACTAATGAGTAGTTAGTCATCTTGTACTCTATAGGAGATGCACATTATTTTATTAAAAAAATAATTTGTCTTTGGGTAAAAGGTGGCTTTCTTAATGTACGTTCTTCCTCGCTCAGACTGCAAGACAGCCTTAGTGAGAGACTTAGATGCCATTACCGTAGCAACACGCAGTGGATTTCATTAAGTACAGTAAACATACTGAGAAGTCTATGACTACTGGAGCTGAAATGCCAAGGGAGATATCCAGCATCTGTTTAATCTATTTAAATTGACATTTTCCATACCTCTGGTGGTTAGGATGCAATGATTCATTTAGCCTAGCTTTTCTGCTGGGAAGTCTTTTGTCTTTTGTGGATGTTCACTAAGGAAATGGCTGCTGCAGTGGAAGGAAAGGTGCTGATGGAAGCGCACCTGCGTTTGGGCTGGCAAATTTCAGAGTGCAACACCCAAGACAACTGCAAAAGTTGTAGTGCAGCAGTGCTGGGACAGACTAGAGGTCTTTTACTAGAATCCTTAATTTTGTTGGTGTTGCTGCCCATGCCATCTCCTTACAGGTTTGAAGGTTCTGGGAAGACAGTGTTCTACACTGTACAAGAAGTTTTTCACGTTGAAAGCCATGCCAACATGCTCTCATATATCCTGTGCGGAAACGGTAAATGCATGAAATAATGAGAATTCTTGGTGTATACAGCTTGTGCCTAATGCCCCCACCCACAGTGGTAGCCAAGTAGTTTTACTTTAGATTTGAAAGGCAACAGCATAGTCCAGTACCCAAACAGCACCAGTAGTTAACAGTAAACAAAGAGGAGACGTCTTCATCGGGTTGCCCAGTGTATGGAACACAGACGTATTCCAGGAGCAGGAAGAAAGCAGGCAACAAGTGATGTTAATCAGATGAATTAAAATGCGAAATATGTATGCACTAGCAGTTGGCAGACTGAAGAGCAGTCTGCAATGGGGATGATGCAGTATTCACCATGTAGGTAAGCTGTGTGTCAGCTTGTTTGTTTTTGCTTCTTCTAGGATCCAGCAATAGCTTTCTCAAATGAAGGATAACAAATTTTGTTGCAGTAGCAATGGAATGGCCAACACAGGAAATCACAGCAACGGAACAGAAATGAAGATTTTGGGTTGTGTGAGTACAGTGCTAACCAAGCTTACGAGAGCTACCTAAACAGTGAGGAATTTAACGGTATTGCTATCAAATGCTATGAAGAATTACTATGCTAGAGATTCAAGCTTCATCTGTAGCTTTCTTTGCTAGCTTTTGCTGTGCATCAGCCTGATGATACTCTACTCTGCTTCTGGCTTATGCTTACTCCTTGTATGCAGTTATTTTTTTTCACCCCATGCAACTTTTGGGGGAAGAGGGGAAGGTGACAATATAGCTGATTAATTTTAATAGCTTCTCCCTACCAAGAACAGGAAAATTCTTTCTCCTTTTGCTCTAACCCTTACTCGACAGAGTATTTAGTGCAGTGTCTACAGTAACACATACACCCTTGAAATTGGATCCCCATATGTTACATTACTGTGTATGGATCCCAATAAAATTATCAACTAATCTCTTAAAAGGCAGGTTAAGCCCAAAGCATAAATGACGCCCAGTGCTCATAGCTTACTGCTACTGGTTTTCTCTAGCAAACTCCAGGAGGCCTCAGCCATACCCTTTTTCCAGCACTGCATCTCTCACCATTTGCACAGTAGTAGAATGGCTCATTGTAATTTGCTTGCAGCCTTCATCTGCTGACAGCATCACAGCAACTGAGAATTATGCTTTATAAGTTCAGTAAGGCTATTTATTTATTTATTTTTAAAAAGCCTTCGCATGTCCTGTAGTGGTGCATGTGCAGAAAAATCTACTGCCTCGATGGGTTAACTGTGGCCCAGAGACTGTGCATTGTTGCACAAATTATTCTTCTTTTGATCCATATGCAACAATTTAGGAGCCCTGAAAAAGTTGGTCCACAAGAAGAAACAGACCCATCACTTGCACAGACAACAAAGAGGTAGTTAGGTGAGGAGAAACACACTTTACTGTAAGTTCCCTCCCATAAGTTGCATGTTGTTTCTCAGTGTAGCTGATGCCTCAGCAAGGGACTTAAGACAATAGGTAGGGCAAGAGAAAAGGTGAGAGGCACGACTGTGGAAAGCATGAACTCAGCACTGCTGGTGTATCAGTGCTTCCTTCATTTATCTCGTGTCATTACTGTGTCTTGCAACAGTAGTGCCTGATGCCATTAGTCACTCACCCTATTGCATTACAGAGCACCCCTGTTGCACTTCAGTATTCAAAAGCACATGAAAGCAACTGCTTTATTGCCTTGTTTATTATTGTAGAATGTTTTATTTAATAACTATTTTTTTAATAGGAAAAAAAGCCAGGCCTCCACAAAACTCTCAAAAGAAACATTGCAGACCTACCTTCTTGTGTTCAAAGCAAAAAGGTCCAGAAAGGGAAAGCTGTGTGGTACTTTTAGATTATGATAGGAAGAACAGGTGTAGATGCAAGCCTTTACCTTTGAAGCAAGGAAATCTAGAGTAAGCTAGAGAGGAACCTCCTAGAAACCCCGTACCAGAGTACAGTCACCGTTTTACAGAAAATGTGACTCCAAACACATCAAATACATGGAAGAAGGGGCCAGGGTATTACAAAAGCGCAATACTACCTTTCACAACCTCATCCAGTCTTTCATCTGCAAGCAGAAATAAAACCATTTTCAGTATTGTGATTTTGTTAAAAGCAAGCAAGCCCCTTTCATAGAGTGTTTTGTCTGTTTTTCTTCTATCAGGGTGTTTATGCTGCAAACCTTATCAGGATGCAAAACTGAAAACTTGTACTTGCCTGACCTTTGTAGAGTCGTGTAAGAGTTGTGCCAAAGGAAAGCCCAAAAAGCAAGAGGTGTATCTAAGTTAGAAGAGAGACTTCAGTGGGTTTCTTGCTTCTTGGGTCCAATACGTGATGAAGTAGCAAGACTTGTATCTCACTTCATGCAAACCTCACTCCCTCTTTACCCAAGACTGAAATCTTTCCCTTCTGCTTGTAAATGAACAAATAGGCCCAGAACCTCTCTGGAAAAAAATAAACAAATGCAGCTGCAGTCCCTGTGACAGGCACCTTCTGGAACACCGGACTGTCCTATTAGAGTAAATCAGAACCAAGAGCCAAAACACTTGAGTGTAGCAGGCAAGTGGAAGCTGGCAGTAGTCATGCTATTGCTATGGAAAGTGATACGCTAGATGCTGTTAGGAAAATCCATATGTGCCTCCTGGAGTGGTTCTGTACCTACATTACAGTAGGAAAACCCCTTTTATATTTGCTGCACCAAATCTGGCAGCAACAGTGAATTTTTCAGAGTGGAGTCTGGAGAGAGCAGCACGTGCACAGTGTAGAGCGTGCAAATAACACTTTAATGTGGTCTGATGCCCTGACGGCGCAAGGTGTATCCCGGGGCCAGGGTGGTCCGGCACTGTCCCGGGGCCGCCCGGCAGCCCCTCGGCCACGATGTCCCTCAGGACGCGTCGCCAGGCCCGGGAGAGCCGTCCGTAGGGGGCGCGACAGCCTCCTGCGCTCGCCGCCGCCGCAGCCTCTCGGCGCCGGTCACCGTCATGGGGTGGAGCGGCAGGAACCCCGCCAGACCTGCAAGGAGAGGCGGTGAGCCGCGGCGAGCAGTACCGAGCCGCTACCCCGGGCCCCCGCGCCCAGACGCCCGCCCCGGGCCTACCCAGGAGCTTCTCAGCGGGCCGGGAGAGCTGTGCGCCGCAGCCCAGCCAGTGGCGGAGCCGTTCCAGGTTGAGCCCCGCCACCTTCTCGCCGTGGGCGTTGGGCAGTGGGTCAAGGCAGCCGAGCTGCTCCAGGTACTTCCCATCGCGGGCGCGCCGGCTGTGCGCTGCCACGATACGGAAGAAGGGCCGGTTGGTGCAGCCTCCGAGGGCGAAGCGGATCACGACGTGCCCGCCACGGTAGCCCTTCAGGAGGCGGCCACCTGCGAAGAGAGCGCGAGGCGGTCAGGGACCGGGCCGAGCCGCGCCGCGCCTCGCCCGCCGACACTCACCGAGATGCACCATGACGGCGGTCGAAGCCTCTCCGCGTCGCGTCGCGATGACGTAGGAAGGGCCGGAAGCGTGGCCTGCCGGAAGCAGAGGCAGGCGCGCGGCAAAGCCCGTTTTCTTCTCGCCGGGAGCGGGTGGCGGTCGAGGCCGCCCGGGCGCTGAGGGCCAGGGGTGCTGCAGATGATGGGAGGTCTCCTGCCCGCTGTGCTGTGTCTGGAGGGGAGCGGGCAGCAAGGGCGGCCTCGAAGGGCTCTTTATCTGGATGTGCTGGCGGGAGGTAGGTAGGTGGAGGGGTGGGGAGCGGGGAGATCTGCTCTGGGCTGCAGGGCAGGGGCTGGTGGGAAGGGGATGTTGGGGGGGCACGGGCTGGGGCGCTCCGTCGGCGCCGCTGTTCGGAGTGGGAGCGGAGGGACAGGGCGGGGAGAGCGACGTGGAGGAATGGGCAGCTCCGTCCTTTGGCTGTCTCCACGTTCTTGTGAGAGCCTGCTGCATTTGTGGCTTCCCTGTGGAAACGGGATCTTTAGCTCGTCTCTCTTCATCTCTCTCTGTCCCGATTCTTTAATTGCTGCTGTTCTGCTCTGTAGTATATTGCAGTCTTTTTTCCTTTTCTATTGCTATCTGGCTGGTTCTCTGGGCCCATGCTTTAATTTTTCTTTATGCTCTGCAACCTGTCACTATTTTTCATTTCTCCCTCTTTCTCTGTATGACTCTTGGTCCCTACTTTTGAAATTTTCTCCCTCTGTGTCTTGTGGCCCATCATGGTTTTTCTCCCTTCGGTGGGAATGGGGGTGTTGCTTGCCCACTGGCTGCCTCGGGGTGTCAGGACAGGAAGCTTCAAACCACCTGTGGCAAACTCCTGTTCCGCTGGAGGTGAGTGGGTTTGGACAGCCTCAGGGAGTTACTGGAGAGCTAGTAGAAGGAAAGAGGGGAAGAAGGCGGTCATGGGCACAGGCATGACCCTAGGCACAGGTGCTGGTCACCTCCCCAACTCAACAGAGCTCCCTTTGAGCCTCCCCCCGGCCCTGCTTGCCCTGTGCAGCTGCCCCTCAGCTCCAGTACCCCTCCAAAGCCCATCCTGTAGCCCCAGGCCAGCCCCAAGCCCTGTCATGATAGTGACGAGCTGTCCCTTGAGGTACCTCTGGAAGCTCCTGCGGAAGGAGGGACTCTGGCCAAGGGTGAGTTACGGTAATAACAGTCACTGTTTTTTCTTTCCCTCTCCTAGAAGCTGTGTTGAGGATGTGGTTGTCTGTTCCTCTCCTGGGGATGCTATTGACTGCAGCCACCTCAGGCTTGCATATGTTGTTTCTGCCTGGTCTTGCTCTCCTTGTGGCATGGGGTTGAAAAGGGACAGGCGAGGCACTTAATGGCTGTGGACAGGAGCTGCTGTGGTTGAAGCTGGAGAGGCCAGAGTAAAGGTGAAAGAAGAAATTGACTGCCGGTGTGCACTGCAGGGTCGGTACACGGCACCAGCAGCACAGTACAGCCACATAGCGTGCAAGTGAGTGAGGCTACATGTCTCGAAGCCTTGTAAGAGCTGTAAGATATCCACATATCCTCTTAGGTGGAGGACAACCAGGTGACCACAGTTACGTAAGAGGGAAGGAGGAGAAGAGGACAAAGAAGCGTCTGAACTGTCAAATTCTCTCAGTGGTGTCGACAGCAAGAGCTGCGGTGAGTCCTGGGCCCTGTTGCCCCTCTTTTGCATTCCAGTATATACTTGCTGCTCCCCTGGTGCCCTATCTTTTCCATGCTGCTGGGATTTTTTGCTTCCTTATACCTCTCCTCTTTCCCTCAACCCCTCTGGCTTGTAGTGTTTTATCTCTCTCACTCCTTTCTTATTCAATTTCTCTCTTGATCTGTCTGTTCTTCTACTCACTTATCACTTTCTTTCTTACTCCTGCATGTACTGTGCAAGCAAGCGAGGCTATGTGCCTAGGAAGCCTCATCTCATAAGAGTTGTGAGACGCCCATGTATTCTCTTAGGTGGAGGACAGCCAAGTGACTGGAGCTACAGAAGAGGAAGGGAGGAGACTAAGAGAAAGAGGCACCTGACCTGTCAAATTCTCCCAGCAGTGCTAAGAGCTGCAGTGAGTCCCAGGTCCTCAGGGCCCTGTCAGCCCTCTTGTGCATCCCGGTCTCTCCCTTGCCTTTCTCCTGCACCCCTCTCTTTCTGATGCTGCTATAATTGTTTTTTTTCTTTTGCTCCTCTGAACCTTGTTTCTCCATCTTGCTCTGAGCAGCTTCCTGTCCCCATCTTGTAGGTCCTCCCTCTCTCTGCCCTGTACCCCATCACTATTTTTTCTCTGTCCCTCTGTGTCCAGCTCCCTGTCCCTATTTAGTAATTCCTCCCTCTTCTTCCTGCACCCACCTCTGTTCCCTGTGACCTCCATCTCTCTCTGTCCAGCTCCCTGTCCCCAGTTTTTAATTCCTTCCTCTGCCCCCCACAGCTTATCTGGCATTTTTTCTCGGTGTCTCTCTAGCTGGCTCCCTGCTGCTGTTTTTTATTTCCTCCCTATCTGTCTTCTTGCCCACTGATGTTTTTCTTTCTCTCTCTGTGTCTTTCTGTCTGGCTCCCAGTCGTTGTTCTTTAATTCCTCCTCTTCCCTGTAGCCTGCTGCTATTTTTTTCCCATTCTCCATTGTACCCTGTCTGGTTCCCTGTTCCTCTTTATCGATTCCTCCCTCTCTGCTGTGTAGTCTGTTGCTTTCCCCCATTATATTTTTGCCTCTCTATCTGGCTCCCTGACCCTGGTTTTTTAATTCCTTCCTCTGCCCCATAGCCCGTGCCATCTTTTGTCTTTCACTGTCTCTTTCTATCTGGCTCTCTGTTGCTATTCATTAATAGCTCCCTTGATGCCGTGTAGCTTGTTGCTTTTGTCCTTTGTCCATCTCACTGCATCTGACTCTCCAGTTACCCTATTTTAGAATTCCCTGCCTCTTCTTTCTGTACATATACACACTGCTATTCTTTTTGGTCTCTAGCTCTGTATTTCCTGACTTCCTGTCCCCATTTCTTAATTCTCCCCTGCTTGCTCTGTGGTTTGGTGTGTGTTGTTTCTCCCCTGCCCCTTCCATCATTTGCTGTCCTGGCTCCCTGTCGCTGTTATTTGATCCTCCCTCTCTGCCCTGTTCTCTGTAGCTTTTTTGTCTTTCTTCATCTCTCGGTCTGGCTCCCTGCCCCCCTATTCTTTTTTCCTCTCTTGTGCTGCTTATCCCAGGTTTTTTCTGCATCCCCTCCTGCTCCTCATGCTTCTTTGTCAGTCACTGCTGTGCTCCCTCTCCTTCTTTCTGCTTCTGCTTTTACTCTCTCCCTGCTGCTTCTTTTTCTGTATCTCTGTCAGGCTCCTTGTCCCTGTCTTTTTGGTGTCCCGTTCCCTGCCTTCTGTTTTCTTCCTACACTGCTGTTGTCTGGCTGGCTGCCACTTTTTTCCTTTCTTCTAGTGTCCTGTACCCTGCTCCTCATTTTTTGTCGGTCTCCACCTCTGCCCCGCAGCCCATTGCTCTAGGAGCTGACTGACTGTTCCCAGCCAGACTGATGAGCATGGCTCCAGGAACAATTGCTGAGGTGTCCCCGGGGGCAGGGGTAGTGTTGGGTGCCCCAAGCCCCAGAGCAGAGTTGCTTCTGGGATGTTTTAGGTGAATGACTCAGTAAACCCTTGCTGTCTCCTGGCTGTATTTTGTGCTTCCTTTGCACCGTACCAGGGGCTGTGAGGTAGCCTGAGGGAGGAGGTGGTGCACTGTGAGGATTGGGCACTGGCCCCCTGTTCCTGCAGGGCTCCAGGTGTGGGAAGGGAGGGAGGTGGCAGCGGGGTGGCTGCCAGCGGAGGTGGTGGGGCTGCTGTTGAGGGCGCGGGTGGCTGCGGAGGGGCCCGTGTGAGACAATGGAGGAGCAGAGCGGTTGTTGCGTGTTACGGGGCTGCGGCGGCACCGAAGGCGAAGGTGGGCGGGGCTGCGCGATCGACCGGCGGCTCCCGGGGAGAGCTCCGAGGAGAGCGGTGGGGCCGGGGAGCGCCGCTCTGCGCCGGAGCCGGGGACGCTGCGGGACGGGCTGGCCGGGGCCGCGCTGTGGCGGGCGGGTGGCGGCGGGAGGGGTGAACAGCGGTGTCCCCGCAGGGCGAGCTGCAGTCCTGACAGGCGCGGGGCTCACGCCTGGCCCCGGGTCAGTTCTGCGGGGCATGCCGGGAGCTGTAGTCTTCCGGCACTCGGCGGCGGGCGGCCTTGCTGTACTTGCCCCAGGGCATGCTGGGAGCTGTAGTTTTTGCGGACCCGGCTGCCGGACAGCTGCGGTGCTCTCTGTGGTGCGTGGCCCGGCGCAGTCCTCTCTACCGCCGCGGACCCCGCAGCGCGGCAGGAGGTGTAGCTTTGGTGCCGGTTTCGTGTGTTTTCCTGCGGGCTCCCGGCTGCTCCCCGAAAAGCGGTGCGGCCGAGCCTCGATAGCGCATGCGGGCTGTGGCGCTCGGTCGGGCTCACTGTTGCCGTCTGGCGGACGCGACGCGGTACCGCAGGTGGGAGCCGCTGAGGCGCCGCTGTGCTCCGCCCTGCTGTCCGCCGGTAACGGCAACGCGAGGCGGGTTGCCTGCGGGGCGGTGCCGCTGCGCTCGTCGCTGCCGCCCGGGAATGAACCGCCACCTCTGCCCCCTCCGCGCGCGGTGTCGCGCCGAGCGCGGAACTGCAGCGCCGATGCCGCCACCGGGCGCGCGCCGCCCGCCGGGCGCTCCCCGCCGCTGCCGCCACCCGGTGGGCGAAGCGCGGTACTGCAGCGCCGACACCGCACGAGTGCACAGCAGAGGCACCGCCGGCTTCGCTGCTGCCGGTGCACGGCGGCTCGCTGGGCGTGATTCCTGGCGGTGGGTGCGGGCTAGCACCGCTAGTGAGGCGAGCGAGCCCTTTCGGCAGGTGTAGGCGTGTCTCGCTCGCCGGCCGCCCGAGGGTGGTGGGACAGGAAGCTTCTAACTGCCTTCTGCGACAGGCTCCCGGTGCACTGGAAGCGAGTGGGGTCAGGGCAGCCCCAGGGACTTACCAGAGAGCTGGCAGAAGGGAAGAGGGAAAGGAAGCAGGCATCTGCCCAGGAGCAGATGCCAGGAGCCTCCCCAACTCAC